TTTACCTTGTTTGGTGAGTTTTGGTTTTGGGGGGGGGGGTTCTTTTGCACACCTTTTGTTGTAAGAAATCCAGGATCAACCTGAATAATTGCTAAAATTTCATTCAGTAAGAAACAGTTCAGGGGATGATAGCAAGTACATTACTATGAAAAATATGTTTTGATTCTTATCATGGGAAAAGGTTCATTTACTCACGTTCGCATGCATCTCCTTTCTGATGAAATCCAGCTCTGCATATACATTTCCCAATGGGCACCAGCCATTCTCCCTCAGCGCTGCAGTGCATCTTGGGAGAGTTGTCGGCCTCCTCCTCAGCATCGCTCACGCACATGCCCTCGACCTCCACTAGCGAGGAGAACTCTGATCCTGTCACAGTGTCTGGGAACGTGGCCAGGTTCTCGATGATAGACCAACACTTCTTGTAATAAACTTTGACAGAGACCAGGGCGATACACGCCCCTACATCCTGAAAGGCCAGGTAGAAGCCCCGTCTGGACAGGGGCCCGATTATACGCACTTCTGTATTCAGCTTCATCTTTCTTTCGCCCAGGTCGCCCTGGGTGAAGCTTTCATCTGCAGCGATTGTGTCAATTTTCACAAACTGGTTCTCCCGTAAGATCCTGCCCACCTCTGAATCTGTTTCTTGATAATACAAGTTGAATGTCTCCTTGCAAGCGCCCACCACACCAGGTAGGCTGTTACAATCCCTCAAGGTGAACTTCATTTCCACAAAAATTCTCTGGGCATTGCCCTTCTCTATCCAGTTAGTTCGAAGCCAGTTATTCTGATTGGGCTCCATAACTTGGCAAACTTGATAAGTACGAATGGGTGTATAGTTCTCATCCAGGCCACTGATCTCTTCCCACTGGAGAAGAAGACATGCATTGTAATGAATACAACCATTAGGGACCACCACCATGTTGAATTTAAATATGGAAGTCATCAAACTGAGATACGCATCTAATGTTTAGCAATCAAACGCAACTGGAGGTGATTACACTGTAATGAATATGACAAAGGTATATGAAATATAGTCACTGGAGACCAAGCTGCATACTGTTGAATAAACTGCAGTGAATGAAAGGAGATAAGCAGTAGCATTTTTATCACACAAAACATCTTTAAAGAATGACTGTATTCAGTTTATCTGCTTCTGCTCACATTATTTATTTAAAACGTTTCTCACAGCCTGCTTTTAATCAGCCTAGCAAGTTGGAAATGGTTTGCTTAAGGCATCTGTGCTCTGAATGTCAAAAGCCATGAGAGTTTAGTAAGAGAAACAGCTTCCTGTGTTTTTTATCTTATGTTCCAGAAAGTTAAATACAGAAAGAAATAAGGGTACTGACTTCTTATGTATATTCAAAAGGTCCTTTAAATTTTATTATAATCTTTGTCCCGGATGGGGGTCATCAGAGAAAACAAGATAGAATACAGGTATAGAGTGCTTCCGCCATGCGGAGATTCTGCAGACTTACCCCGCTGGGAGGATGGGAGATCCACTCCAGTTCTGTCTGCTGTGCCTTGGAGTCCAGCAGAATTACTAGTGACAGGAAACCGAGAGTCGGGTGGTTAAATCTCACAGGGGCACTGGGGCTGGTATAACTGATAGGCCACACAAGTATGTCTATAGCGCATATACTCCTGACCTAATTTCTACCAGCAGCAGCTAAAGCAAAAACATGCAACAAGAATATATACACTGCAGTAGACAGGTTCTGGTGTCTGCGGGGACCTTTTGGGGAGACAAATTAAGACACTGACAGTGTACAAAGGGATTAAATAGGTTAGAGAAACAGACACGTATGTACTGGGAATACTTATGCATAAGGTTTGCGCGCATTTAATCTATTTATTGCGGTTTATTTCCAGCCATTTTTTTGAAGTGGAAGTTGTGCCTTAAGGTCAAAGCAGCTTCTGGGTCCATTCTGACCACATACAGAAAATGCGCTGAAAATGAGGCATAATTTCAGCTCAAAACGGCAGTAAAACTATCATGAAACCATGTTGACAGGATGCTAGTTTGCTGTTAAAGTAGCGAAGGATTTTCTGCAAAAATTCTGTTTTATGCACTGGAAGTGCGCCGGAGCGCAAAGGGACACCATAGCGGCTTTCATAAAAATTAAGTTTTAATCATATGTAGTATCAGCAGACAGCTTCATGATAAGACAGGGGTTAGGAGACAGGACGCACCACGAAAAAAAAGCTCAGGTTATGTCTTAAATGACACTCTTAGATGGAGCTCTGTGAAATCCGCCATATAAACAGAAGGATTTAGTATTCATATCACCTATTGCACCCAAATAACACTCGGTATACTGTAGTTTTGGTGGAGAGAAAATCTGCAGAACGATTTTCTATTTTTAGTAATAACATGATCTCCTTAATTTCAACTAAATCTGATCAATCAAAAGTGCCAGCGCTCGGGTATTTGGATGTATTTAAATCATGTCTTGTTCTGATGTTTTATTTTCTCCTGTCAACTTAAGCGTCTGAGGCGGATTACTGTGTGGCTCCGCATCAAACTGCTGTATTTTCCTCCAAGAAGCAAGACTAGACAAGAGTCAAGGCCACAGGAAATAACCGTCCGAAACTGCATCCAGATAGACGGCTCACTCATTTCCAGCGAGGTAAGTCTGCTGGGACGATCGATCGGCTGATACAACCCAGTTTGTCGTGATAGATTGTTAATCTATAACGGACTGACTAGTTATGTGGATAGGTCATTGGCACTGTAGTAAAATAAAAAAACGAGAGCTTCTGCGTCTAACCCGTGACTTACGGCTCCACTCGCCGTGCGTAAAACACCGAGAGGTCGCTCGCAAACAGCTGGGGAACAGAGAGCGTTGCCATCCCCGGACACCGACCACATCTGAGCGCGCTTGGGCACATAAAACATCCACATTCTGAGTAAATACATCTGCATTGGATTTAAAGGGGTGAAAGCGGGGACGCAGTCTGCCGGTTTTCGACACATCTCTGTAAATTCTCAAGGATGTCTTCCAAATGCGATGGGCTGGAAGAGAGTCCAAACTTTAAGAACTTACCTTCCTTTGCAATCTGTGCTTCCCCGCTGTCTAAATAACAGCATAAACGAAGGCAAAATGTAATCCACAGACACGGGATGGACCTGGACAGCATGATGCAGCTGCGGATTTCAAGATAGACCGTAACTCGCTTTGCCACCGTCTCGTGTGCTTTCCATTGACGAGACTAAACCGGCTCTATGCTCAACAATCCGCTGGTCTCCACTCAAATAGCGTCTGCTGCCGCTGGGAGGAGACTGTGGCCCCGGCGATGTCAGTCACGGAGACAGGCGGAGGAATCGTCCAATCGTAACCTGGAAAAGGAAACGTCATAAAAATAAAGGGCCAATTGGTGCGCGGAGGGGGATGGGTGTGTGTGTGTGTGTGTGTCTGTGGAGGGGGGGAGGGGGTGAGGAAACGTTATCACAACTCAGATATTTTTGGTTTTCTTCAGAGTAGTGGCAAGGGATGCTCAAGTACGGTTGGTGTCTTGACACAAACACACACACACACACACACACACACACACACACACACACAACCGCGGCTGAAAGACCTCATCTGATCCAGTCTCTCATTTTTCTGTCACCATTGAAACGTTATTATATTTGTATGTTTTTACACGAGCCATTTCCATTCAAAACATTTAGAATAACTTCTACATAATATGCGTTATTTTCATATTTTTACTGATTAACTTATGTTTCAGAGCTCAGTGGTTCTGGATGATGGACACCTTTTAGATCTTGTTTTCATCCCAGCACTTAAACTGGTGTTATTGGCCAGGGCCAGACTGTCACAGCAGCTGGTCAATAAACCCAGAGTACTGAACAACACCACTACGAACCAACACAAAGACATTCAACTGGCAGCTGAAAATCATGTAATACTGTCAAAAAAGTACCTTCAGCATGTAACCAGACAGAGGGTAAATACATTCTGCTAGTCCAGTGGTTCCCAAGCTAGGAGTCAGGCTTCACCATATGATCACAAAAATAATCTGAGGCGTCATGCAAGAGAAAAAAAAAAAACAACTAAAATTCTGCTATACAAATTTGTTTTTTTTTTCTGACTTGAAGATTTGCTGTGTTTTCAAATACTGGATAATCCAACCCATCTTTGAGCCTTGAACGGTTATTTCAAATGGTCACAGGCCAAAAATGTTCAGAATCTCTGATGTAACCTTGCACAATGTTTTCTTTTATATAAGGTTGTTTTGTTTATGTTAAACTTGATCTCAAACGTAATCAGTAACTACAGCATCAGTAACTGCCTTCTATGATCTTTTTCCTCCATCTGCAACACATTTCATGTAATACTGTCATATTCAATTGTGAGACCCTCTGTGCAGACTTCACATCAAGGAATGACTGAGAGAAGCACTGATTTCTTTCCATAAATGGTTCATGTCTTAATGAACTCTCTCTCTCTCTCCTCTCTGTGTGTGTGTTTGTGTGGACACAGAGACTCTGAGCGCTCACCTCTGATACTTTGCATCACATTTGCACATTGACCCACAGTTTTCAGATGGGAACGGCACCTCCACTGCCATTAAAGTGTGATTCTTCACCATCAATACAAAAGAAGTTGAGAAAAAAGTCAGGTACATTTTATTTCTATAGCCCAGAACACACATTTGTCTTAGGTGACTTTACAGTCTGTATGACGTATTGCACCGACAATTTTTATACCCTTGCTGTGAATAAGAAATACTCCTCAAAACACATTTAATGAAAAAAAGGAGAAGCTCTTCCAGGGCAAAAAAACCATGTGATCATGTACAAATTTTTCCATTCAGCTCCGGGATTCTAATATGTTACAGTGTCTTTAATGTCTGAGCCAAATATAGTATCTGATGGAGAGATATTGCCTGGTGTTTCTATCTGGGGAAGGTCATTGTAAGTGAGGGAAAGTCCCACTGAGACACACCATGCACACAACAGGATCTCATTCATTATTACTCTGCTGCTTGAGAGACTTTCACCTTAAAGCTGTAGCCACCAGGGGTCTTAAATAACAAGTGATGACTTAAAAAAACAGTCTAAAGTTAATTTACCACCTTCTCATATGACTTGGCATACCACTTACAAATTAAGGCATAAAGAAGAGCAAATGATTCCTTTATACATACAGCATTTGTTGCAGGTTACTAATTAATCTCTATTACATCAAGCAAAACAGTTGTAATTATGGCCGACAAATACTGATTAATAAACTGTGTACATAAAAATGGACCGAGGCCCAAGGACTCACTTCAAAGTTTACTTACTTCTGCTTTTTCTGTTTTTTGTATGTTTGTTTGTTTGGCCTGTTTATTATGATGCAAATTGCAGCTAATTCTTTTTGCCCTTGATACACGGTCAAGTCCTGCATGGAAGTGTATAACTAATGATTGCTGAGTTAATCTGGATTAATGTTACCTTTATCATAATTTGTCAGTAGGACACCAACCACTATAACAGTTTACTGTAAGTGTGAGAGGCGGGATTTCAGTGTTTGCTTTAACTGTGCATACAAACAGTGCATCCAGTATTGGGCCTGAGCCGGAGTTTACATTCTACAGTTACACAAACTGGTGATTGTGTGGAGGATATTCTGATGTTTTTAAGAGTCAGTATATTTAATTGTTGCTTTAAAACAAAGGGATTTTGTATTCCTTGACAGAATTATTTTCCAGGATGGTTTTGTGAAATGAATAAGTAGCATGTGAAAAAAGAAATACAAAAACATCAGTTATCTTGATGTTTTGTCACCGTTCTGTGTACTGAACGTTGATACTGGACATGTGCAAAAGCCTAAAGAACCTTTTTAATGTTCAGTCCCGACACCTTTAAAATTCTGTCTCCCTACGATACAGTTATATGTGAAAGTCGGGCCAAGCCACGGTGAAACAAGTTAAAACAAGTAAACACAGCCCATGTATCAAACACATTTAAAGATGAGCCTTTTTTCTCATGTTAATGCATTGTTCATTTAAACCTAAACTTACTTTTAAAATATAAGGCCAACCCACAACAACCACCACCAGTTTTGGCATATGCAAAAGTTCGAACATCCTTCCATAAAGTCTTCAGTCAGTCATTAGTCCTTAATGACAAATAAGGCAGTTCACAGAGGATGGGAAAATGAAGCTAAATGATGCTTACAAAGCACAGGGAGGCAAAAAACAAATCAAAGAATTTCCATCTTAAAATTTACACTGTTTGATTTGTCGTTAAAAAATGGCAGTTAAAGGAAACTGCAAAAGTCGAGGCAAGATGTGGAAGACCAAGCTTCAGAAAAACAGTACATCTACTGGGCACAAAGGCAAAGCAAACACTCATGTGAGTGCAAAGGAGCTGCAGGAAGGTGTAGCTGACACAGGAGTGGTGGTGCACTGCTCCACTGTGCAGCATTGATGGACAAATAGGGTCTACATGGAAGAGTCATCAAATGGAAATCTTACCTGTAACCTCATCACAAAAGACAACATTTGAAGTATGAAAAGCAGCATCTGGATAAGCCAGGGTGGTTTTGGAAACAAGTGCTGTGGACAGATGACGGTAAAATTGAGCTCTTTGAACACAATCACTAAAAGTGTGTTTGGAGAAAAAAGGAGCAGTGTTTGATGAAAAGAACATCTTGTCAAATACAAGCAGGCTGTGGGAATATTATTCTTTGGTGTAGTGTGGCAGCCAGTGGCACAGGACACATTGCAAGGATAGAGGGAAGAGTAATTATCAGCAAATTCTGAGTGTCATATGTGCATGGCAGCTACAGTGTTGTTAAAGTTAGGGGACTAAAATACCTACTTAATATGTCAGATTGTCTGGGCCTGGTCCTGGACTGCCATTCAATGTGTCATAATTTTGGATCACTGCCTTTCCTAACTTGAACATCTTAGTCACTGAGCAGTTCAAAATGTGTTCCAATATCAAATTTAAAAATATGAACATGTGAACTTGTGGTAGGTAATCTTTTGAGAGACTTATAAGATGGGGAAAATGATGCAGGTGGGTGCAATATAACAAAACAACATGATCAAGAAAGGTCTGTTTCACTGACATCAATACAAACCGTGTACAGTGCTGCCACTGGTGGCCAACAGAATCAAAGGGGACTACTATTTTACAGTATTCAATAGCATTACTGTAATGCACTGTGCACTCTGAGCACAAGTAGAAGCACAGCTACTGAGGAACACTCCAGTCAAAGAGTGAGAAAGACAGCCTGCACCATCTTTGATTTTCTTTTACTTGGTTGATTTGGCTGCTCAGTGACAGAAGTGTCCACATTGAATACTTGTCAGATCATCAGGCTGCTTGTCCAGTCTGACTTCCTCTACCAGTATATTACCATATCGCAGCAATTACTTTGGTAAATGACGGGAATGCTAGTCATAATTACTGGATTAAAGTAAGACCCAAATTGGAATAAATATGAATAATCCACTGGTACAATACATACATTTTGTGCTGCTTTTTAGGTTTTTAGTCAACAGCACTTGAGCATTGTTAACTCACTTCTTATGTGGAATGTAGAAATGAAAAACGAGATAAAGCCCAGCAAAGACCCATACAGTTTGTCACTTTGTCACCCTGACAACAATAGCTCTAACTGCTTGACTAATGTGAAATATCTTACTAAATTGGAAGCTGTCTGTTTTCACCTAATTGTACCAAACCTAAACATGCTCACTGTTGCCATGGTGTCCTCCAATTACCACACTCCTGTTATCCTCATATGTAAGTGACACTAAACATCAGTGGTATTATGTTCAGCACTGACAGAGATGAAGCAGCTATCGTCTTGCCTTGTTGTTAAATTGATTGGTTAACAGAGAAAAACGTAAGTGCCAAAAGGTTGGCCGAGGCAGTTAGAGATGTGAAATATTACATGGCAGCATGCACCAGCTCTCTGTCAGTGGAGCCTTTTCAAAAGTTGATATAGGCTCTCTGGTCATAACAGGCAACAATGACATGGGAGTGACTCCAACAAGACACAGCTGTCGCAACAATACACACTGAGGCAGCGTGTTATTGCAGACTGACACACACTTAATGGACCCTGTTAGGGTTTTTATGACTCCACAGTTGTGTAGGCATCACAGACAATGGACACAACTGTGAAATTCACATTAAACTTTTAACTACAGCTATGTTTCTTTATTGTGTGTCATTTGTGTTTGACCAGAGAAAAGCTTTGTTCAGTAACAAACTATTAGAGATTCTCACAG